TTGCAAGATCCTTTCGGAAGACTTTCTTTCTGTGATCTGCTATTTCTGATACCTAATGTTCTTTTTTGGGGAACAAAAAAATATATTTAAATTCTATGAAAAAAAATTCTTATACATGACTTTATAATAGGTTTGGCCTTGTTGAGTGCTGTTACAATATTGTTTATATATACGCCGTTTTTATTGCTGTCGATAAAATAAAGTATCTAAATTCTTAAACTTCTCAATTTGGTGTGTTATCGTTCTGTCAAACGAACTAAAAATGGAAAGTACCAATTGTCACCGACATCCGGTCTCGAAAACATACTGATAAAACGGATGTTAAAGGCCCGACAGACCAAGGTTACAGATGTTTTGTGATGTCGGTGTAAGCCATTATTTTCTAATAGAAAGTTATGTCTTAAAACATAATGATTTTTCGTTTTACCTTTCTCAGATTGTCATTGACATATTTGTAAAGAATCCCCGAAGCCCATTATCTTTCCACATTGGTTACACCACGGACTTATATACGTGTATATAAGTCCGTGGTTACACCATAGGTTTGGGCTAAAAAATATATCGACATCGTCATTCATTTTAGCAACCCCATTAAGGTTGAAATCAGTGTAATTGAGTTGAATTGAGGGTGTGACGCATGTTTTTCATTCCATATGATAACTGTTACTTTCTTCTCTTCCACTTCCGGTTAATTTTGGAAGACATTTTCAGTATCAGTAGCTTTTACGACATGTGACGTTGATATATTGTAAGTTGCTGTGTCTACTTTACGACTTTGTAGGTAAAAAAAAAAGTGTCTTTCAGTCAAGAGATGGTTAAAGCGAGATAACTCTCGTTGAAATCAGGTCGAGTGGGCATCGATAATCTTGATTACAACCCTTTGTTATACAAAATCAATACTTGGGGAAATAAAAGGTTTATTCATTTGAATTATTTTACCATAACCCTCGTAATTACAAGGACCGTTACACATATCTCCCATAAACACCCACACAGTCGTAATTGATGGACAGGGTTGGATTAGAAGCGATACAGAACGTGATACAAACAGAACAATATTTGAATTTCTCTACATTAGTAGTGTTTGTAGGGCTGCCGCTTAGTGTTTTAAGAATTTAAAAAAAAAATTTAAAATCTTTGTGAAATTATCTGAGGACCGTACAGTATTATTATATCTATGAATTATCTTCCACTGAATTAAGAAGTAACGGAATGGTTACGGACAATTATGATGAAAATATTCCTGATACTATGTTTCAAGAATGAGATTGTGATATTACTAGAGAGAAAGTTATTATTGCTATTGGTAAGTTGAACACTGCTTAAGCGTGTGGTCATGATTTGTTAGTTAACGAATATTTTATTAAGGGTAAAGATGTGCTTTTGCCCTGTCTCGTTAAATTGTTTAATAATGTTTTTCAATCTGGAAACTATCCGAAGTCTTGGTCAATAGGTAATATAATACCTGTTTTTAAGAAAGGTGATAGGAACAATACTAATAGCTATAGAGGTATAACTTTAATAAGTTGTTTAGGTAAACTTTTTACATCAATTTTGAATAATAGGTTGATTGTTTTAGACACGGTGTATTCAAAACTGAGCGATGCTCAGTTTGGATTTAAGAAAAATATGTCAACGGTTGATGCTATATTTGTGCTACAGACTTTAATAAGCAAAACGCTGAAAAATAAGAAAAGGTTATATTGTTAAACTTATTAAAGAGGGTGTAGAAGGCAAAATGTTAGCTATAATACGTTCACGTTATAATGATGTTAAATGCTGTGTGAAATATAATAATAATAATATATCAGATTTCATCGATTGTAAGAATGGATTGTTTCAAGGGGAGAGTTTATCCCCGATAATGTTTTCTATGTATATTAATGACTGCAAGATGAGTTTTCTAACTAATGATTGTCCTGCGATTGAACTACAAACTATTAGTCTTTTGTTACTGATGTACGCAGATGATATGGTGCTTTTAGCTGAGACTGCAGAAGGGCTACAAAAAATGTTTTTAGTTTTTAGAAACGGTGGAAAATGAAGAAAAGAAGACAAATGGTTTTATAATGGATGTGCACTAGAAAATGTGGATGAATTTAAATATTTAGGTGTCTTATTAAATTTCAATGGAAAATTCAGAAAAACGGAAGAAAAAATTGCGGAACAGGGTAAGAAAGCGCTTGCTGCAGTATCAAATGTTTGTAAGAAAAATTATTTTAATATAGAGACACAACTTCATGTTTTTGATACATATGTAGCTAGTATTTTAACTTATGGATGTGAAGTCTGGGATTACATAAAGCACCGGACATTGAATATTTACATTTAAATTTTTGTAAAAAATTGTTAGGTGTAAAAAGAAGCACACCAAATTTTATGGTTTATTACGAGCTGGGTAGACTACCTTTGAGTTATGTTAGAAATTTAAGAATGTTTAAGTGTTGTTTAAAATAAGAAACTCTGATAATTGTATTTATGTATCTGCACACTACGACAAGAAACAACACAACAATGAGTATGAATGAAAAAGGCCACCCTTACAGAGAGGATGACTTTGTATTTATTTATGAAATTAAAAACATATCTTACAGTTACAAAAACCGTAAAATGACCAAAATATTATGTTTTTTTCAGTAGTTATAATCAAAAGCCAATGTGGGGTTAACAAGAAAACCGCCACAAAGACATGACAAAATGTCTTCCCCACAAAGGCATGGGTGGTTTGATTTTATAAGGAATTAATTATTTCAGATGGGATTAGGGTATATGTTGCACAATGGTAATCCGGTAGGTAGGGATATAGATGTTATTTAGTGTAGAATGTACGATACGTTTCAGCAAGAATGTGAAGAAAAGATTGAGACTTCTACAAAATGTACTTTGTATAAATATATATGTGATAGATTTTGTTTACAGAATTATTTGACCAAACCAATCGGTTGTAATTATTTGAAAGAAATATCTAAAATTCATATGTCTTCGCATAAGTTGAACATTGAGGTTAGTAATGTTGATCGTAATCAAAGGAAATGTACATTATGCAATAGTGGTGATGTTGAAGACGGATATCATTTTATAATAATTTGTGAATGAAGATCTGAGAAATCATTTTATCAAAACATATTATTTTAATAGACCAAGTATGTGTAGATTTATTCAATTATTGAGTACAAATAACAAGAAGGATCTATCAAATTTAGCTAAGTCTATTGCATTATGTAACAAAAAGCGTGAGCTCCAAGTGTGAATAATATGTCTCCCTGCACTTTAATTATTATGAAACAGAGAGTGGTATCTGTGTGTTATGGGTAAATGAAGGTTTGTGGGTAAGGGAGGGTGTGATATGGTGTGTGTGTGGTGGTGGTGTGTGTATGTGTGTGTGTGGTGGTGGTGTGTGTATGTGTGTGTGTGGTGGTGGTGTGTGTATGTGTGTGTGTGGTGGTGGTGTGTGTATGTGTGTGTGTGGTGGTGGTGTGTGTATGTGTGTGTGTGGTGGTGGTGTGTGTATGTGTGTGTGTGGTGGTGGTGTGTGTATGTGTGTGTGGTGGTGGTGTGTGTATGTGTGTGTGTGGTGGTGGTGTGTGTATGTGTGTGTGTGGTGGTGGTGTGTGTATGTGTGTGTGTGGTGGTGGTGTGTGTATGTGTGTGTGTGGTGGTGGTGTGTGTGTGTGGTGGTGGTGTGTGTGGTGGGGGTGGTGTGTGTGGTGTTGGTGGTGGCGTGTGTGTGGTGTGTGTATGTGTGTGTGTGGTGGTGGTGTGTGTATGTGTGTGGTGGTGGTGTGTGTGGTGGTGTGTGTGGTGGTGGTGTGTGTGTGTGTGGTGGTGGTGTGTGGTGATGGTGGTGTGTGTATGTGTGTGTGTGTGTGGTGGTGTGTGTATGTGTGTGTGTGGTGGTGGTGTGTGTATGTGTGTGTGTGGTGGTGGTGTGTGTATGTGTGTGTGTGGTGGTGGTGTGTGTATGTGTGTGTGTGGTGGTGGTGTGTGTATGTGTGTGTGTGAATTTTTGTTGTATATAGTTTGTTCGTTTACTGATGAACCAATTGGTTTAAAGTGATAAAGAACCTGAACCGATGACTACACGGTCACCTACATCTTATAACACAACCAGTAGAAGATTAGAGTGTGACGTTTTGATGACTGCACGGTCACCTTCATCTTATAACACAACCAGTAGAAGATTAGAGTGTGACGTTTTGATGACTGCACAGTCACCTTCATCTTATAACACAACCAGTAGAAGGTTAGAGTGTGACGTTTCGATGACTACACAGTCACCTTCATCTTATAACACAACCAGTAGAAGATTAGAGTGTGGCGTTTTGATGACTACACGGTCACCTTCATCTTATAACACAACCAGTAGAAGATTACCAAGGTTACCGTGACCTGCATTGCCTGACTGTACTAGGAAATCATTAGAAAAGCGACACGGTTAAGAATATACCAATAACCAAAATATTCTTTTAAAATTATATGAAAATTATGACACCTTACAACCAAGATTTTAACATTATTATTTTTTTCCAATCACATTCTTTGTTTTCTCCGCAACTCAGAAAGTTCATCATTACACATTACATGCATATAAATCAAATTTAACCAAAGCAGAAAATTTATCATTTCTTATACATATATATACAATTAAACATATAAAAAGTAGAAAGGTTGTCACTACATTTTACAAACATATAAATAAAATAAAACATAGTATTCTAAAGGATGTTTGACAGTCCAGCACATTGCTTATTATTATCAGTCCAGATAATTCATCCCAGGTGAAGAAGATGTGATGCTGCGTCGGCGTACTCCATGATGTTGATCCTCTGAGTCTGGAATCGCTCCTTAAGGTGGGCCAGTCTGGTGTCGATGCTTCGACATCTCTTCGCACGTGGTCTTGTTGCTTCTCCTGCATCACGCTGCATCCTGTTGATTTCGTTGGCGACTTGAATCTCCCGGAACACTTTGATGGTGTTAATGTTGGGGTGTGAGTGGTGTACCTTCTTCTTCAGCATGCCAGGCTTCTAGATGGTTGGTGGTGCGAGGTCCCTCTTTGGTGAAGTGGTTCCAGATACGGCGGTCTCCCTCAATCCACTGTGTAACGACATAGTATGTAAAGGGCGTAGTGTCCAAGAGTAAGTCAACATCTTCCAGTTCCTCCAGCGCGTTGAACCAAACATCCTCAACTCTTTCCATTGGTACCAAAGGCAGCCAGGCGAACTAGTCTTTTGATGACGTCGTTCTCTCTGAAAAGTTGCTGAAGTCCAGTTTGCTGGGCTTTCCTCCAAATGCACTGGGTAACGTGGAAAAAACATCCTTTGATGGTCACACCTGGGAACACTTGGCGTAGGGCGTTGTGAGCTGCTGTCTCGAAGTCAACAAAGGCTAATGTAGGACGTAGAGGGAGGTTGAAGTCAGTCCTGGTTCTCTTCAGTGGCTTCCTTCACAGTTTGATAATGATGAAGTCTGATTTCCCCCACATAAAAATAATCCTTGTGGCCTGGGATACCTGCTCATCATCAGCTTGCATTATCATAATGATTATGCGCGTACATGGAACATTGTTCACTATCTGGTAACAGCACTATCATCACCACTTCTGAGATCATCTTATAATTGTTTGTATTTGAGGTCGATGGCTTGGGTAATTAAATAATATAAGTATACTTACATTTAGAAGTCAGATAATTTGTATAGGCATAATAAAAAATAAATACTATTAATACCAATGGATATTTTTTTTAATCATACATAATGATTAATTTCCTAAAATATTTCATCATCATTATCAATTTACTTAATATGGGGCCGTTAATATATACTTCATATATATTCAAGTCAGACAAATTTATCAAAAATGTAAAACTTTAATTCTGATATAATGTAATATTTTAGTGAATTTTTACCTCCTCTAGTAAATGATAATAAATTAAAATAAATTGAAATTTATAGATTAATTTTATTTTGTATATTTTTAAAAACTCAATAAAATAGCTGTCATTTAATAGGCTAGATGGCACAAGGTAAAATACAGGTAAAACACAGGTAAACACAGGTAAATTAATATGAAATAGACTATAATCCTTATCACAACATTCTTCTCTCCATGTTATTTTAAAAAGTGGGCAAATCGGGATACAGCCACATAGATATATAATCTTAGATGCCGCGCGACGGCGCCTGTGACGTGTCTAGCAGTCCGCCATCTTGGGAAGGTATTGTACAAGCTGTCAAGTTACTACCATGTACAAATTGATGTTCTACAGAATGTGTGCCTTATCCGATTTACTTTTGTATGATAGGGCCTATTCATTTTGACTTGTAAACATATGTATAGTGTTGAGTAGTAGATGTCATTGTAACAGGCAGTGTTTCCAGTAATGATGAAAGGGGTTTTTTGAAGTACTATCACTAAGTATTTGAGCAGCTATACTAAGAGATGGTAATTCAGCTGATGTAAGGAGTAGTATTTTTTATATTTCACTGTAACATGCTGTTGTGCGCTGACATGTTCGCAAAGTGGTGTGATTAATTACATTTACGTTTTGTGTTTGACAGTAGTTTCATTTTGGTCACGAAGTAAGCAACTAGCCTATAACTTGTACAATATATAGTTATCTTGGGCTTATTAGTGATGAATACAGAACATGTAGACAGAAGACATGATTTGTTGACTGGTTTATGGTATCAGTGCTGCATATGTAGGGAGTGTATACTTTACACTTGACTGGTGCAACATGGTACTTAAGATAAAGTAGCTTGTACTTCAAGCAAGGGGGTTATTATATGTCAGTTTATTGTTAAAATTATCCTATGCAAAATAAATGAGGAGAATATATATATTTTAATAATAATTACATTTTAAATATTTCCGTTACTTTTTCTTTAATTTTGATTCCCGATAACTCCACTTTGAGATGACTACAACATAGAACTTTTTTTCTCAGCTTTAAAATGAAATATTATTTGTGTTGATACGTGGGCTAGTGACCGAGCTACACTTTTTAGTGGGATTTCTAGCATGAGGCCCAATGTGTAGCTATGGTTTGGTGCTAGCGATAATACCTTCCCAAGATGGAGGCGCTGCATATCTATGCTGACTGAAAGGTACAAGGCGGTTCAATTATGGTCCAATTAAGGGTATACTTGCACATGATTGGTTAACCGAGGTAAGACAATGCGTTGATTGAAAGAGGCTGAAAAAGGGCAGTATTTTTTATTTTTATGAAAATTCTTCCGGCTTAAGCATGTCGGATTATGTGTTATTTTTATATTGTGACTGATCTCGTACAGCAAGGGGAACGATCAGTTGAGATACCCCTTGCAGACATTTTTAGGGACGATTTTATCGATATTTTGAAAACAGAATGTGAAAACATTACTTTGACACAGTTGGAATATTTTATTCCGACACAGTCGTTATCGGCGTTTGGAAATGAAACAAAACAAAATTCTACATCAGACGATGTCGCAAAGAAACATATGGAAAGGATTCCGAAAAAACTAGGACTAACACTATGTGGTGTGTTTCGATATGGAATGACTGGTTGGCGCACAGGAGGTCGTTACCTGAAACATGTCATGAGCAATCGATGCTTTAGTTACGTCATCTTATGAAATCAACATCACCACGAAGACCTATCTTCAGCATGAGGATCAGTTTCTAAAGGAATATGTCACAGTCAATCCTCGGCTCTGATTGGCTGGAACGTATGAAAATACCAAAACTGCCGTCTATCTTTTAGTTTGTTTGATGTTTTTGTTAATTTTTTCATCTTTGTGTGTTTCTCCGGTTAACGATCCTAATTATCTGATATAGGTTGAAGAACCTTTCCAGAATGTCATAATAATTATTGTATTAAAAAGTTGTTATTCAAGTGTCTTTTACAATCTTTTTGACATAACACGGAACTTCTTCAATATAATGAAAGGGGATCGAGGATATGGAACCTGGTAGACACAAACAAGTATTGTTATGTGATATGTATACAGCAAATAATATTTATCAAGTACCGCGCACGATCAAGCGATACTACGATAGAACGATGAAAGAGATGGGGAAAGTCAATTGGAACATGGTACAGGCAGGTGATGCGGTTGATATGTAAAAGGCATTTTTCAGCCAAGTGTGAATAAATATTAATTGGAATAAATAGGCATTGAAGTTGAAAGGTACAGCATGCGTTTAATAGACGTTGCGTGGACGAAAATCGATCATTAACAATTGGCTTGTCATAATTATATGGACGATCGTTCGGAAGCCAAATACAAAGATTGAATAGTAAAGGGAAAAAAATATGCTGAGGAAAGTACTTCGGAATACAGGAAGGATAGTGCGAAAAATATAAAGAGTAAGCCAAAACGATTTTAGGAAAATGTCAACACAAAACGAAAAGTCCAAATAAGGATTGATTACGTTTTAACTACGCCTCCGGGATGGATCAACCTATAGCTGAAATAGAATTCATATCGGCAAATAGTTAAGGTCTTGGGGATTAGAATAAACGCAAGGATGTTTTCTCTTATCTGAGATCTACAAACAGTAGTATTTTTTGTTTACAAGACACATTTTACTCTAGAACTGGAAAATATAATAAGAAGTGAATGGGGTTTTCAATGTTACTTTAATTCTTTTAAATCTAAAGCGAGAGGGGTGGCCGTTCTTTTTAAAATAATTTTGAATTTAAGGTACATAAAGAGAAGAAAGATAATACTGGGAATTTTTTAGATATGGAGATAGAATCTTTTAGAATCACTCTCAACAATTTATATGACCGGAATAATGATGACCCCGAGTTTTACAATATTCTTACTGAAACTGTTGAAGAATTTGCAAATAAATATGTCATTATTTGTGTTGATTTTAACTTGGTCCTGAATCCTAAATCTGATTATGATAAAAATTATAGGAATCTTAATAGTCCTATAGCCAGATATAAGGTTGAGGAAATCATTGATAATTTTGGCTTGGTGGATATTTATAGAGAGCAGCATGAAGATTTTAGGAGATATACATCGAGGAAAAGCAACCCACTTACGCGAGCTCGACTAGACTTCTTTCTTCTCTCGGAGAATCTTATATCCAGTACTAACAAATTAGATATAGAATCTGATCATTCTTTTTCAACAATATCCTTAAAACTCAATGAATTTATAGCTGGTAAGGGCGTTTGAAAATTTAATGATAGTCTTCTACAAGATCTTGAATACGTAAATATTGTGAAAGCTTGTATATTTGAGACAAAGGCCCAATATTGTCTCCCAGTTTATAATATTAACAATTTAAGTAGTATTTCAGATGATGACATTTTGTTTACAATAGATGATCAATTATTTCTTGAAACTTTATTAATGAATATAAGAGGTAAAACTATATCCTACTCATCACACAAGAAAAAACAACAAAATATCAGAGAGGACATCCTTTGGAAAGACATTCAGGCTATGGAAGAGCAAGATGTAACAAATATTGTGGAGTTGGAAGTTAAAAAAAATGATAATTTGATCATTTCTGCCAACTTCCAAATGTACGATGGATATTTTTCACCAACTTGCCACAATGGATGTAAAATAAGAGTTTTTTTAATATCCCGAGTAAACGCACAGCTCTTCTCGCTCCCTCAGCTCAGCTCGCCATTGTTCATCCTGGCAGAAGTGGATAACATTTGTGACAAAATTTTACCAACTATTTTGCCTGGCCGCGTCCCCATTTGAGAAATAGTCATCGAAAAGAAAAAAAATGTACTTTTTGTGTAATCTGACGATGTCGGGAACAAAGTATGTCGTCGCAGATTCACCAACGACGAAATCGCACACACGCGCGTTAACAATCTTCTTCCACAGGAATTTTGGATTCCCTCTACTTAGCCGATTCCAAAACAGTAACATATATTTGTCAACAAATGCTTGGTTTTCCCATAAACCCAAACGATTGAATGGTCACGCACGAAGGTGAATCATATTCAAAACCTTGGCATCGTCTAGAGACTTTTCGCTGTAGTATTTCTATGTCAGCCCATGTTACTGCCCGGTAGACGTTGTTCCACAGTTCGCAACCATATGTTAGTGACGGAAGTAAGATATTTTTCCAGATAGTCACACTAAGCGCCGGGAACATTCCGATATTATGTATGCCCAGACCTATAATGGAATTAAACGTCCTTTTAACTTTTCCCATCTGTTGTACCATACATTCG